ACTAATGTGAAGTTTATAAGGCCTTGGACACTCCTACCCTTTGAGCTAGCTTTTGGGGTGGTGTATCTCAAGGTTCTTTACATAGTATCAGAACATCGCCGCCCCCCACTTTGTCTTGTGGCGTTTCTTAGCACAGGTAGACTGGGCCTGTTGCATTGCCCACTCTTCAAGCCCAATGGGCTCTCGTGTGAGGGGGCGTGTTGAGATATATAGTCCCACATTGGTTGTATGTGCAACTAATGTGTCCTTTATAAAGCCTTGGGCACTCTCACCCTTTGAACTAGCTTTTGAGGTGGTGTATCCCAAGATTCTTTACATTGCACATATTTAGAACCTGTTTGCATGTTTTTTTTTTATACTCAGAAGCTATCTTCTTTTTCTTGAGAAAAAGTGCTCTCACCTCAATTAAATGCTTGGATGCGGACTTTAAAAAGATAACAAAGAAGTTAAAAAAAAAAACAGCCAAATTGATACTTTAGCTTTTTTTTGAAAATACAATGAAAACTAAAGCAACATCAAAAAAGCCCTATATTGGGCACAATCTTGGGAGACTAACGCCCCTCAAGTCATTACGAAGCAATTCCTAACAAGCCGTTGGAGGGACATCCAGCACAATCAACTGTCCATCCTGAGGAGGTGCATGAGTAACAAGCCAATCAGCAATAAAATTGCCTTCTCTATAAGTATGACTAAGCTGAATAATCTAGTCTCTTTGAAGCATGCTACAAGCTCGAATGATTAAAGCAGAAAGAGGATGACTTACGTCACATCCTTTTCTTATAAATTCCAAAGCCACCTTGGAGTCACCTTCCACAAAGACTCTCCTAAATCCCTTATGCCAAGCCAGATCCATACCTGTCAAGAACCCCCAAATTTCCGCTGAAGTAGAAGTACCACTCCCAAGGAATTTTGTAAAACCAGTTAACTAGTTCCTAACAGCATCCCTTATGACTCCACCACATGCAGTCCTTTGCCCACTGTCTATGCTGGAACCATCCACATTAAGTTTAACATAACCCTCAGAGGGAAAATTCCAGTGAATAAGACGTTCCTCTCTTCTGAGCTCCTAATGACCAATCTTAATAAGGGTTTCATTAGCCAATTGAATATTACCACAAGTGTAGGTAATGCGCCTAATGAGACCATACTTTGAGGTGCTAGTTTGATCAAAGATCGCCTTATTTCTTTCTCCCCACAAACACCAAGCTATCACCCCAAAATACAAAGGCCAAGTTCGATCAGTTTGAAACGGACCTTTTAATACAAGATCCATGGAGAAAAAGTCACTACGGTTATCAGAAGGAACCCAATGCTCCCATAATTCCCTGGCACCAGGACAATCTCTAATGGCATGTAAACTATCCTCATGATTATAATGACATCTCAGACACGCTGCATCTGTAGCCATGTGACGATGCACTCTACAAACATTAGTTAAAAGAGAACCTCTGTAGAGAAGCCATAAGATTTGTCTAATACGTTCAGGACTAGGCCAAGCCCAAATTACCTTCCAAATCCTACCGTGATGATAATGCGAGGTACCCATGAGATAGTTATAAGCTGATTTCATTGAAAACTCCCATCTTGGCTACCTGCCCAAATAACACGGTCCAGAGAAGGATCCATTGTAGGAGGGAGCACACTACGAATCTTGTCTAATACTGAAGTAGGAAGAAGGTGCTGGAATAAAGGCTAGTCCCAATTACCATAACAAGTTACAAATTGAGACGTAGACCAATGAGTCATAATAGGAGGAATAGGTTGAACGGCCAGAGAAACAAGTTGAGGACATCCTGGCACCCACGAATCCATCCAAAAAGATGTATGAACCCCATCCCCTAAAATGATACGAGAATTCTCTAGAGTTTGAGGCCAATACTTAACAATAGCCTTCCATAAACCAGAATCATTTGCTGAAGCCGAGATACTTGGAATGAGCCTCTCCTCCACCTTATACTTGCTACGAAGGACCCAAACCCATAATGAATTATGATCAGTCATGATACGGTGACCTAGCTTCATGATAAAAGCCATATTATTATCTTTAATTTTACGAAAACCAAGCCCCCCCTACATTCTTTGGCAAACAGACCGTCTCCCAAGAAACCAAGTGAGCTTTCCTTTGTTCAGAAGTTGATCCCCAAATGAAATTCCTAGTTACACTCTCAATACGATCACATGTACCACTAGGAATAATACAAGTTTGCATAGGATATTGAGGAATTGCAGTAAGAACTGACCTAGCCAAAGTTGATCTTCTTGCCAATGAAAGAGTACGTTGATTCCAGGCATTTAAACGAGCTTGCATTCGATTTAAGATATAGCCAAACGTACTCTTTGTAACACGGCTATGACGAAGAGGAATACCCAAGTATTTACCCAAGTCATTTGTAGGAGAGTAGCCCATCAACTGGCTTAGATTCTGCACTCGGGTATGATTAACGTTTCTGGAGAAGAAGACTTTTGTTTTTTCCTTGCTAACCTTCTCACCAGAGCACCTACAAAAACAATCAATAATCTTATTAATAATAACAGCTTGCCCTTCTGTGTCTTCTGTAAAGAGCAGAAGATCATATGCAAAAAATAGATGGGAAAGCAGTGGTCCCTTTCTATTCAATCTGATAGGCTTCCAAACGTCCTCCTGAACTGCTACATTAATCAAATGAGCAAGTCTTTCCATGCAAAGGATGAAAAGATAAGGAGACAAAGGATCTCCCTGACGAAGACCTTGATTAGGAGAAAATTCTGTCGTAGTTGATCCATTCCATAACAAATTCATTGTACATGACGAGACACAACACATGATCAGAGAAATAATATTCTCAGGCAAACCAACATCCACAAGCGTGTCTTTCAGAAACTCCCAAGAAATCTTGTCGTAAGCCTTTTCTAAATCAACTTTGACAGTCATCCAACCCTTACCTCCTCTCTTTTTATTCATGGAAGGATGATTTCTTGAGCCACAATGATATTATCCGCTCCTTGTCTACCCTTAATAAAACCACATTGATTAGGCATAACCAAGTGAGCCATATGATATTTCAGCCTATTAGCCACAATCTTAGTTACAGTCTAGTAAATAACATTACAAAGGCTAATAGGTCTGAAATCTTTAAGTAATTCAGGCACATCAATCTTAGGAATCAGACAAATCAAAGTTTGGTTAACCTCTTTGATATTATCCGGATGAAGGAACACACCTTTCACAAAAGAGATAACTGACTCACCCACCTTATTCCACTGAGATTGAAAGAAAAGAGCATTAAGCCCATCCTTCCCAGGAGACTTGTATGGACCAAAAGAGAAGACTACATCTTTGATCTCCTTACTGTTGGGCATAATACTCACCGTGTCTAAAGCATGCGCTTCAATAACTGAAAAAAAGCAACGAACTGGAAAAGCCGGTTTAGGTAATGGATCTTTTGTGTACAGATTTTCAAAGAAGCAAACAACCATTTCCATTAAAACTTGCTGATCACCAATCCAAACTCCCTCCGAGTTTTTCAACGTATCTATGTGATTCCTCCTACATTAAAACCTGCTGATCACCAATCCAAACTCCCTCCGAGTTTTTCAACGTATCTATGCGATTCCTCCTACGTCTGGCAACCGTCACAGAATGAAAGAAACGCGAGTTCCTATCTCCAAGAGCAAACCAATTCAATTTCGATCTTTGAAACCAAGTGATTTCCTCTTGAAGATAAATCTTGTCTAGTTCCCTCTATAGATCCTTTTGCAGCATATCAAGGCTATGACTGTACTGATAACTAAGACATCTATCAATACCTCTAATCCTTGCATGAAAATCATTCTTTCTTTTCAGAGCAATCCTTTAAACATTTCTATGCCATTCCGAAGCATTAATCTGAAATGTCTCCATAGCATGCATCCAGTTTACATTGTTTGACCAACATCCATTAACCACCTCATGAAAAGTGTTCTTTGTTAACCAGGATGCTAGAAAACGGAAAGGACGCTCCCCTTTCGGATAAATAGCAGGTTGACCTTCCCATAATAACACTGGTCGATGATCTGAGCCAAAGAAAGGCATGTTGAAAGCCACACGGTTAGGGAAAACCAAGTTCCAATTATCATTAGCGCAAACCCTATCAAGACTTTCCTGAAGATTTCTTCTTTGCCAAGTGAAAAAAGGACCTTGATTGCCAATGTTAGACAAGCTACATTCATCTAAACAATCACGAAATTCCCTCATGCTATTCCAGTTATGCCCATTACCACCTAGCTTCTCATACTCATACAAATAAGTATTAAAATCACCTGCTATCCCCCAAGCCGCATTCCTCATGGACTGATCAAACAGTGAAGACATAATTTCCCACAGCTGAATACGTTTCTGTCTTCGCGGAATTGCATAAATAAAAGTCATGAACTCCTCTCTATTTTCTTTTACCCAACAAATTTTAGTATGAACAAGTTGGTGATGAGAAAAAAGAACATCCACTGAAACTTCATCAGTGTTCCAAAGCACCCAAATACTGCTAGAAAAACCAACAGCATCACGATGAAAGTGACCAGAAAAACCAAGATGCCGAATAGCTGTATCCGCCATAACACCACTCAATCTGGTTTCTAACAAAGCCATAACTTTAATATTGTATCTATGAGAAAGATCCCGAATCAGAGGCGGAAAACTCCTTTTCCCAGCCCCTCTACAATTCCAGGTCAAAATATTCATAAAAACAATCATAAATTTATCCAAACAGAAACCGGCCCTAAGAAAGAGCATTGGTATAGACCGAAGTCACACCCAAAACTTCCAAATTATCCAAAGGGATAGAATCCTTGCGAGTTTGATAAAAATTTCTCATTAATGTAAGAGCATTTGGTGGTCTTCCATGTTTACCTCCATTATCCAAGCCACTAGAAGAAGGAAGAGTCTCTTGTTGATCATTAACCACATGAGACGTCTTCCTCTGGAATTTAGATAAAGAAGGGTGCAAGACAATTTGTCTATCTTGGAAATCCTCCGACATATTCTTCTAAGAATCAAGTTTAAAATTATTCTTTTGAGATTCTGCACCTTTTGAAGCATTTAATCTGCCTTTGCTAATATTAGCATTCTGGACCAGCTGATGAACTTTAGCAGATGATGCAGTTGCTTTCTTCTTTTGGTTCTCTTTGAATTTTACTCCTTGACTTTGGACCTCTTTTCTCGACTTGCCCGCAGATAGGTTAGCAGCTGGAGAAACTGTTTCCATTTGAATATCCTTTTTCACCAACGGTTCTTCATTATGAGCAATTAATTCCCCATGATTAATTCGTGTCAGACCAGATTCAATGCTGATTGAATCAATCACTGGAGAATCGGAAATAATTAAGATATTATTATCCTTTTGAGCCAACTCAGCAATAGCTTGAAATCTTGAACCTGATTGAATGACCTGTATGTGATTACGATCAGAATTGGAAATTGCCTTATTACGTAACGCTGCATTATTAACAACGCCAACTTGTCTCCTACCCGATGGTAATGATTCCTCCTTTGATTGTGCTATGCTCCTTGATCGACGGTTACGCTGCACCAGCATCCAATTCCCAAACAGTTCCTCCTTCACCAGAGCAGAATCTTTTTCCGGCTGCTTATGCACCACCGAGTCAGAAACTTCAGGAGAATAAGCCGTAATATATTGTTGAAGATTACTATGGGAACACTGATCCCTTCTATGCCCATACTTTCCACAAGCAAAACAAACTAAGTGGAGACCCTCATATCCAACGTGGAAGATACGATCAGCAATCCGGAATTTGGACAAAAAGCCTTTCCTAAGATCAACTTCGACACAAATTCTAGCAAACTTTGCTTTCTCTGTAATATCACCTTCACCAGAATCACGTTTCCTGATAGAGTTCCTATCAATCTTCAATGTGCGACCAAAAATACTACCTATATTCCACAAATGATGAGAGGTATAGAATTCAATAGGAAGTCCTGGAATACGAATCCAAACTGCCAGCTTTCTGATCTCATCATCATAAGGATTAAAAAAATGGACGCCACCGTTGAACTACCACATAATGATCAGCTATGATCCAAGGACCATCCTCCAAAACATAAGAGTAATCATTCTTATTGGAAAATCGGAACAAAAAGTAGTCATTCTCCAGATCAATGAACTCATATGTGCTTGAGATATTCCATATTCTCAGTAAACGATTGAGTAAGAATCTAACTCCAACTTTCTTCCCCAGAAGTTTCACAATCACTGCCTGTCTCCAAGGTCTGCAACCTTCTAAATGCAAGGCTTTTGGAAAAGAGTATGTTGGGAAAAGAGAATCCTCCTCACCATCAACCGTAACAAAGACCTCATCCCCTTCTTCTTCGTCCTCTTCCTTACGTAGTTTTTCTACCCAATCTTCCTCATCGC